GGCGCGCCCGTCGCAGTGCGACGACGGGGACGAGTTGGAGTCGGAGAGGCAGCATGAGCAGGCCGTTCAGACGGCGCTGGCGTCCACCAGCGGCAGCGCCGGCGAGGGCTTGGAGGTGGCAGCAACGGCTTCCGAGGTCGAGGAGGGCGTCGCCCCCAGCTGCCCCGACTACCAGCATGAGCGCGACAATGAGCAGGAGTACGAGGATCTGACGATGCGCCCCGACGTGGTCGATGCCGTGGTGGATGGCGACCCCAGGGGCGAGGACATCGGCCTGCTGGATGCCGTGCTGGATGTGCCCGCTGGCGGCCTGAGCATCGGGACTGGCCCCGCTGGCGAGAGTCTGAAGGAGGAGCCGTGCGTGTTCGACGTCACGGACGAGGAGCCGATGGACCCTGCGGTGCTCGCGCCCGTGCGCGCGATGGAGCGCGCCGTCCCGCGGGCAGCCCCTGGTGTTCCGCCGAGGGGCTTGGTCGAGCAGTGGGGCCACGTCGGCAAGAATACGGAGCCAGCTGGCAGCCCGTGCGATCGTTGGGCAGCCCTGGCTGGCGATGAGGACGACGGCATCGGAGAGTACGACGCCAACCCCGTCAATTTCGGCGGCACGGTCCATGCGTGTGCGCCCATCGCACGGTCCCCCGTTGTACACGCCCCTGACGAGAAGTCGATTGGTGTGAGAGGCAGCGGCGGTCTGTGAGCGGCGCGAGGCGCAGCTGTGCTGGCAGCGGCGTCACCGCTCGGCCGCTCCCTGAGTGGCATCCCGTTCGTCGCGATGCTGCTGGGCGCGTGCTTCGTGGTCGACGTCGCGGCTGGGCGGGGGAGGAGCTCCCACAGGCTCGTGTCCTGTGGGCCTCCCCCGAGGCCAAAAGACGCAACTCTTTGTTGCTCCGCTTGAGTCCCGCTTGAGTCCTCCTCCTCCTCCTCCTCCTCCTCCTCCTCCTCCTCCTCCCCCACTCTCAAGACTCTCAAGACAACCTCAAGTTCATCATACAGTGCACACGGAACTGGAAAAATTGAATAAATGGACAGGCGCGCGGGAAGAGACTCTCTCCTTCTGATCCTTCCCCCCCCCCTTTAGGCGGCGGCGGGGCGCGCCTGCGCCTAGGGTCAGCTTCAAGTCGAGCCCGTAAAAGGCCGAAGACGAGGAGGAGGAGAGGAGGGGGGGCAGAGGGAAAGGGTTAACAAACCTGTTGGATGACCCTGAAGCTTGGCCCTTTCGGAGCCTGGGCTCTCTCACTGGACCTGTGCGGCCTTGGACGCGGAGCTAAGAGGCCCGTCGCCTTCCGCGTCGCGAAACATCCGCACCCATTGCAGAATGTGATAGGTAAGTCACTGCCTTCCATCCTGGACGCGAAGAGTATGTGGCCAGCCCCCCCCCCGTCTGCAACAGGGTCTGTAGGGAGGGGGCCAAGGCTTCACGTGCAAAAGTGTTTGATTGTGTGCACACCCTGAGGCATGTTTGGCATCTGCAAGTGGCTTTGCCCCAGGCATCTGCAGGCTGGGTGGTGGCTTGGCTGCGCGCTGTCTCTTTGCGCGGGACTTCGTTCCACAAAGCTCCGTGGGCGGTGGCCATGCGCTGAGAATCGTTGCTCCTCCTGCAGCCAGGTTACAATATTCGGCTAAAGCTTGCTAGTAGACCTCAGTCGTAGCTTGGGCCATCCCTTGGGCTCTCGAGGCCAGTCCAGCAAAGTGATCGGTGAGGGCGTTCCCCTGGATATTCAAACGATCCAGGTCATCCTTAGCACTGTTTAAATCGCGGTGGGCCTTGACCTTGTACATCATAGGCCGTTGGCTCTGATCAAGCTTTTGCGCCGCGGGTCTCCAGTACTGGGCTCGTGGGTTCTTTCCCGCCAACGCCTTCTCTGGCCAGGAAGTGATGAGCCCCAGGGCACTGCAATCATAATGTATGATCGTCGAGGGAGGGTCATCGGATCCCAAACTCGCTAGCGAGACTGCCGCGTGCCCTGCGCCCCCACTCGTCTGTGGGAAATCTGCGGGTAGCGGGGAGAATATTGCTCTGAGGAGTTGCCCACCACTGTCAATCTGGACTGCTGCTGCTCCCGCCCTGGCCAACTCTGGGTTGGATGGAAAATCGCAGCCCCCATCTGTGTATATCATCGCTCCTGCCGGGGAGTTAAAAGGTCAGTCGGAGATGACTGGGTCCAAAGCTGGAAGCGGCTGCCACAGATGTGAAAACAAAGGGAGTGGTCAGGTCCTGCATTCAAAGTGTCTTGGATGAGGTCCTGACCAAAGACATGGGAACGGACGTCTTGTGCACGCGGGCATTCCCAGCTACGATGGCAGGCTGTGTCTTCCTACCCGCTAAGAAAACATGCAGAGGGAGGGGGCTGCGTAGCCCCATCTGGGTAACATTGCCCCAGTGGGGACCGACACAGAAAACAAGTTGTTTAAACGCATGCCTGGCTCCTTCCATGCCCTTGGAATTGCGGGCCTTCTTCGCAGCGTGCAACCACAACCCTTCAGCTCTGATCTGGTTGGCTACAGGGTGCGTCAGGGCTACTATTGTCTTGTAAAGCGTGTTTGCTAACTGGATGGCTGAAAGTTCTTGCGCAAAGATGTGGGCCACCCTGGCTGGTGGCACTTCAGCTAGAACTAGCCTGCATCCAGCTTTGGTTACGAGAACAGCGGGTGACTCGATCACCGAATCTACTGCTTTCAGCCAAAGGACTGCGTCTGAAAGTGGGCCCCTATTCCGAGAAGCCCAAAGTTTACCGACGGTGGCCTCAACCCAGACATGGGTTTCTCGGAATGCCGCTGATCTTCTGCTCAGACGAATGGCATCCGCATGCAGGGGTCCTCCCTCTATGCGATGGTTGGTGGGGTGCCGCCATTATTGTGCATATCTTTCTGACGTTGCTGCTGCTATGCTGAGTGGGTCTTCTTGACCTCTGGAGGTCAGGGCCCAGGCTATATCCAATGGACAACCTGCCTGCTTGGCTTCTTTGGCAGTTGCAGCTCTGCGGAGAATGCAACTTCCCTCGGGTAAGAACCTTGGACTTGCGCTCCATACGTCGCCACCGACTGGATGCTTTCCTGCAGAAGTCTGCTGTCCAAAGTCCGACTCCACTTAAAACGGGAAGGTTTCTGGAGTCTGCGCTTAAACTTCTTCCACCTGGCCTGTCGTTTTTCTCAATACTCGACTGTGTGCTAGGGCACGGGCTCCCAAGAAATCCCCTCCTAGATTTGCAGGGGCCTGCACGACAGCTCCTGCCAGTGGTCCGGGAGCGCCCTTGGCGTCCTTGGTCAGCTGGCTGGAGTTGCCTGTGATGTTCATATTCTGGGCCGAGAGCGGGCAGTTCAAGTGCTCTTGCGGTACTTTCGCTAGCGGCTGGGTGAACGTGACCATGGTCTCAATGCACACCGTTGCCGACTTCGGCCATGTGTGTAGCTGCAGGTCATCTATGTGTACACTCAAGGCCGACGAGTTCGGTTCATGCACCCACCTTTGCCCTGTAGGCATTAGATATGTCTTTGCTTCGAGTCGCTGATGTGGACCCTGCAATGATACCAGAGGTCGGGTATATCATCTGGCTGAAGGCCCCACCGAATAGAAGTATTATGCCCCATCTCTATAAGCGAATGGTGTACATCATGGCGTAGAGGGGGCATGAACCAAATCTGCTTGTCCTATGAGTCTGGCATGGCGGATTCTCATAGGACTGGACCAGGTCCAATCACACACATAAATAGAACATCCCCAAGGATGTACACTATTCGTGTCAGACTGCTCCTCTCCAGACAATATTCAGCGGGTCTCTTTTCTTGGCCATACTGCATGCTGGGCCCAGACCAAACTCTCTTTGAAAAACACGGCACGGGGATCTGTGTAGTTTAGCATGCAGCCAGGGCATAGCTGGGTAGTGTCCTAGAGGCCGGCATCCTCCTTGGGGCTCCTTGGTAACAATGATTATTTGGATTTATGTCGGCGCCGTACCTAGTACATTCATGATATGAACGATGAGTGATAACGCGCAAACCGCATAAGACGAGATCAATGCGTAATGCCTCGGGTGAATGCCATCAGGTGTGCAAGTCTTGAGCTTGAACTTCCTGGCGATAGGTTTGATTACATCTGGCTCAGTGGGCATTGGCACTGGTATAGGCGCTAACTTTGTTCTGGCTGGCGGGCCTGCAGGGGTCTGACCAACTTCCCATGCAGCCGACCAATGATTTGAGTCCTTGCACACGCGATTTGGCAGCGACGAAAAGCGGCCTGCTGGGCTCTGAACTACATCCTCAGGTCTGTAGTCCGTGCCTCTGCGGTAAGCAATCGCCTTCTGTGTGCACTATCCTTCCCTGCCCTATGCACCGTTGTTCCCAATCCATCCTCTGTTTCCTCCTTTCTTGTAGTTGGCCCAGCTTAGCACACTGTTGTACACATATGATCGCAGGCGCCACCACTGAGAAACGTGCTGGTGGGGACTCCTTGACCAGGATGGCTGCAGCTAGGCTTAAAAGATAGCACTGCCAGAAGGAACCTCCTCCCCCTCCTCCTCCTCCTCCTCCTCCTCCTCCTCCTCCTCCTCCTCCCCCTCCCCCTCCCCCTCCCCCTCCCCCTCCCCCTCCTCCTCCTCCTCCTCCTCCTCCTCCTCCTCCTCCTCTCTCCTCCTCCTCCTCCTCCTCCTCCTCCTCCCCTCCTCCTCCCTCCTCCTCCCTCCCCTCCTCCTCCTCCTCCTCCTCCTCCCCTCCTCCTCCTCCTCCTCCTCCTCCTCCTCCTCCTCCTCCTCCTCCTCCTCCTCCTCCTCCTTCCTCCCCTCCTCCTCCTCCTCCTCCTCCTCCTCCTCCTCTCCTCCTCCTCCTCCCCCTCCCCCTCCTCCTCCTCCTCCTCCCCTCCCCCTCCTCCTCCCTCCTCCTCCTCCTCCTCCTCCTCCTCCTCCTCCTCCTCCTCCTCCTCCTCCTCCCCTCCTCCTCCTCCTCCTCCTCCTCCTCCTCCTCCTCCTCCTCCCTCCTCCCCCCCCCGAAGAGCCAGAGCGCTGCGCCGTCCTGGCCGCGCCCTCGCGGCGGGCGCTGGGCGGGCGGGGCCGCCCGCCGCGGGGTGCCGCCGGAGGGGAGGCCGACGGGCTCGCGGCGCGCAGCCCAGCGGTTTCTGGGAGAAGGGGGGGGGTCCTCCTCCTCCTCCAGCGCCTCCTCCTCCTCCTCCTCCTCCTCCTCCGCCTCCTCCCCCTCCCCCTCCTCCTCCCCCATCCCCCTCCTCTTCCTTCTCCTCCTCCTCCTCCTCCTCCGCCTCCTCCTCCTCCTCCGCCTGCTTCGCGTCCTCCTCCTCCTCCTCCTCCTCCTCCTCCTCCTCCTCCTCCTCCTCCGCCTCCGCCTCCTCCTCCTCCTCCGCCTCCTCCTCCTCCTCCTCTTCCTTCCCCTCCTTCTGTTCCTCCTATTCCTCCTATGGATTGGGAGGGAGGGGGGGAAAGGATGGGAGAAGGGGGAGGAGGAGAAGGAGGAGGATGAGGGGGAGGAAGAGGAGGAGACGGAGGAGGAGGAGGAAGAGGAAGAGGAGGAGGAAGGAGGAGGAGAAGGAGGAGGAGGAGGAGGAGGAGGAGGCGGAGGAGCACGGTCAGAAAGATGAGAAGGATAAACATACTAGTTACAAGCAGCAAATTAAACATGTAACTCACGAAACATAAACATGCTACACTAAGAGTGCAAATAATATCACGGCGGAATGCGACAATGAAGATGAAGCAGTGGGGAGGAGAAGGAATGACGGGCAAGGAACGATGAGGAGAGATGGGGGAGGATGAGCGTCAAGGACGCATGAAGTTGGGCGGTGAGGACGGAGGAAGGCGGGGGGAGGTCTTCGTTCCCCCATTGGACCCCCTCGTCTTCACCCTTCCCCACCCCATACTCCCCCCGTCTCGTTGTATTCCTCCCCATCCTCCTCTTCTATGCGTCTCCCTCCTTCCTTCCTCCTCGTCGTAAGCCTCTCCTCTCCGCCTTCTCCCTCCCGTTGCCCCCCCTTCCCCCCTTGCCATCCCGCAACCCTCTCCCTCTTCCCTCTCCCTCACAGTGTCTCTCTTTCTCCCTCCCTCCCTCTCTTTCTCTCTTTCTTTCTGTCTCTCTCTCTCTCTCTCTTTTTCGCTCTCCATATGTCTCTCCGTCTCTCCCCAGTCTCGGCTCGAGAGCTTCGATCAGAGCCACAACAGACGCCAAGCGCCCCGCATCCAAAATCCGCCACGGCCCATCCCGGCAGGCCGCGACAGATCGGCACCGCCTCCGCTTCCAATCCACGCGCGCGAGCCATGGCCCCGAAGGGCCCCCGCCATGAGCGCCCCAATCCTCCGCAGCCCAAGCCGCCAGGCAAGGGCCACCAACGGGCAACCACACCAGATAGCAACCTGTCCCGAAGGGAAGCCTGCGTCGCCACACTCTGGGGGCACTGGTGGCGTCGACCGAGCAGTCCCTGCATACATCGAGCTGGCTCACAAGTGTACTGCCGAACTCGACACCGTGTGCTACCAACGCCGCTCCAACCAGCACAAGCTGAGGAGCGTGCTGATGATCCGGTGGGACACCAAGGGTCAGCCGCGCCATGCTGCGTTACTCCCTGACGCGCAAAACGCACTCCAGCCATGACTCACCTGGGTCCATGGTCGCGGCCGATGCCCACCTGGGCATCGGCACCGCCCACTCATCAGGCTCGGTGCACGACCAAGGAAATGCCCATCGCAAATCGCACACCAAGGCGGCGGACGGCACATCACACACCAGCAGCATCTGACCACGCGCGCGAAAGGAGGGAAGTTGCCTCCTGCAGCAACTCTCCTCCTCCTCCTCAGGCGCGCCAGCTAGAACGAAATGAAGTAACGTCGTATGTAGCTGAGTCGAAGGGAAGCCCCTTCCCTTGATCCCTTCCCCGCCGGGGGGGGTCCCGGGGGGGGTCTGGGGAGAGGGTCCCGGATCAGAATGCCACCCCCCCGGGGTCTCCCGAACTTCAAACAAAGCACAAAGACCGTCCAAGAGTGCCCCGCTGGTGCTCAGCCACCCCCCCTCCCTTCAACCTCGGCCTCCACATCCCCATCCATGCACTTCCACATCATCGCCACCCCCCTCCTGCTGCTCCCCCTCCTCGTTCTTTTTCTTCATCTCCTCCACCTCCTCGGCGTCGTCTTCCGCCCCCTCCTCCTGCGTCTCCTCCATCTCCTCGGCGTGGTCAGGGTCGTCTTCTTCAGGGTCGGCGGCACCGGCCATAAGGCCTCCGCAGTAAAAGATAGTCCAACAAGTACCCAAAGATAACGAAGAATAGTCAGAAAAACCGTCCCCTGACTATCCAGTGACAATTTTAAGAGATTCTTCCTGCAGAGGGACACGCCCGACTCAACACTGGTCGCCCGAGCAAAGGTCGGCGATGGACAGACCTCCCTTTAGTAAAACGTGACTTGGTGAAGACGACCTCGGGCCCAAACCTGGCGGCCGCACGCCTGGAAAACGACGGCCGCGGCGCCCTCTCGAGCCGAAAACGGGCAATTCACTAATCGACGTGTCAGGGTAGGAGGTCTGTCCACCTCCGACTTTAGTGGGACCTGGTTTAGTGATCTGTACCGGGGACGCCCCCCCCCCCATTTCCCATTCCACTAACCGGAATTGCCGTCACCCGAAAAGACACTAGCTATGGCAAACCTGGTTTAGTGATTCTGGCCCATTCAAGGAATCCAGGGCCCTACCACTAACCGGGTCCCCTTACCCGGGGCCCTGGCCAAACCCGATCAACACTGGCCGCCCGAGCCAAGGAGCCCCTCATCCCCGTTCTCCGTTGGGGCGGCGCGGGCCGCCGAGCCCGCGCCCCGGGCCGCGCCCTGTAAGAACGGTTTTTTGAAGGCAGATCTGCCTTCAAACAACCGTTCTTGCGGAGCGGCTTCTGCAGATCGGGTGCTGCCACAGGTATTGAGTCGGGCCTGTCCCCCTGCAGGCGGCTTTTGGACGAAAAATAAGAGAGAACCTCCTAAAATGTTCAAACATACTACAGGAATGCTGACAAAAATTAGTCCCCAGGGTATTTTTTGACTGGTTTTCAATATCCCCCCTGTAGAGGGACAGGCCCGACTTCATACAAGTATCCCTGGTCCAAGGTACCCCCAGGATTCTCGGGGTGGCCCAGGTGGCCTCCAGGGCACCCCTCGCAGGGCCCAGAGGGCCCCAGGGGCTCCAAGATGGAGCGAAAAGCTGGGGGCTCCTTGAAGCTAGGGGTACTTCTAGCAACACCCGAACAGAGTGGGCCGCGTCGAAATCGAATGGCTCTGGTGCCTCCGGAACAAAATTCAATACAGTGGGGGCCCGACCACTAGAAACCTTCCACAAGAAACCCAACCCTGAGACCCCAGGACGTCCACGGATTTTTGGTGTGGGAACGTCACGCTCTCCATCGCAAAACCATCGAAACCCAACAAAGCCCAGGGCACCCTGGAGGCAGGCAGGGTGTTTCTTGGCATGGGCCTCCACTGTACGCACTGGTCCCTGCGGACGATGTGATCTCGATCCGCGGGGCCGCACGTGGAACGGATGCCGCCGCCGTCGCGCCCGCCCTGTACAAGGGGCTGTCCGCATCCCAGCTCTCGACGGCCGTGCAAATCAACGGCGCGCGGCAACCAGGGGGAGCAGGAACGGCCCGATCTGGGGCCAAGGAGCGTCACAAGGGAACCAAGCGTGACCACGCGCGCAAACATCTTGACGACGACGTCACCGACGCCTTCACAGCCATCTTCACCTTCCACGTCAGCACGGCCCCCATCCAGGAATCCATGAAACTACTGGGGCGCGACGGGACCGCAACGGGCAAACGGAGACTCCCGGCAACGTTCGACATCGGGCCTGCCGACGCCCCGACAGTCATGTCCGCCTCGGGGCAAGGAGGCATCCTGTTCGACATCCGCTACCGCGGATCGAATGGATCTGGGCAAGGCGAATCCATCGCCGCATGGCACCAGGACGATTACCAGGGCACGCTCCACGAGAGCCACCAATCATCTCAAAAGCTGAACCTTTGGAACCGTCCGCGCTGACAAATAATAGCACAAGGGTCAAACTATACATTGCGGACGTTGAGCCCGAAAGTGCAAGCAGGACGAACGTCGCCAAGTCCTGGCCCCCCTCGACCGGCGCCGCGATGTCCAACGCGCAGGGCGGGGCAAAACAACCACGGGGAGACTCTGCTACAGTCAGTGCGGCACCGGCCCCGCGCAACTCCACTGTGCGCGCGCAGGGGTCACCAATCCCATGGGCCATCGCGTGGGTGACAACTATCGCTGCGACGGAACCACAGAAAAAAACAATGGCAGAGACTGACTATCTACCAGACCACCCCAACCCAACCCGAAGACCCAGATTTCGGGTTGGGGGGGGGGTACGTCCCGCTCCAGCGTGGCCGAGGAGCCGCCTGCGCGGCCAGTGGAGGCAGAGGCCGCCGCGGAGGCAGGCGGGCCCGCGCCTGCAGCCAGGCCGAGGGCGCCGCCGAACCCTGCGGCCCGAGCGGGGGCCCTCGGCGCGTGCGAAAAGCTCCACGTGGTCCGCGAGGTGTACGGCTACGTGGTCTGCACAGCGTGCGGGGCCCACGCCAGGCGGCGGATGGAGGGCCTGGCCAGAGGGTGCCCAGGCTGGCCCGCCAACCCCAGCAGGGCCGACAGGGTGCGACGCCGGAGAGCGGACCGCATCCTTCGAGGCCTCCATCCGAAGGCCAACAGGAGCCTGGACGAGTGAGGGGGGCAGGGCAGTGCAGCGATTATTCATGAATAGTGTGTGCATGTCTTGCCTGTGCGTGAATTATCTTGATAATGCTGCGTTGCTGTGTGATTGTTCTTGCTGAATAATCAGTGCGCGCGCCGTGCACAGCGGGCACTCCGGCAAGGAGTGCGGAGGCGGCAGTGCGGTTGCCTCGCTAGCCGTTCGCGGCCCGGCGCCTGCTCCACGGGGGGTCGGCGACCTCGTCGCGTCAGGGCCGCCGCTCAACTCGAGGGCACTGACGCCCCCCCAGGCCCCCCGATGGGAAAACGCTGGCCACCAAGCTACGACGAAGACTCAGACGAAGAGCGGGTGTCAAGACCATGCGTCCACGGCATCTCCGACCAGGCTGACGCCTGCTTCCGTAACCCAGATGCAGAA